AGCCACACCCAGAAGTGATGGCTGCAGCAGCCTTCGCTGTGAAACAGTGCTTGTGGTGTATTGGTGAGTGGGAAGAGCAGGCTGCCATAACATGAGCCCAGCACACCCTCCCTTTTTGAAATGAAATTGTGTATGCTGTGTTAGAAAGCCTGGAAGGCTGTACCCCCAAGGGTGACAATACTTACCTCTGGGAGGTAGATTATCAGACCATTTGTATCTTTATCCTCTTTATTTCTGTTTTCTAAATATTTTGATGTCAAGTAATTCTTATAAAACGAAAAAATGTAAGTCCATTCCCAAAATTCTTCTAAAATGGAATCGTTTCTTTTTCAGCCAGAGAGAGAATGTGATCAAAATAGTGGCGTCCAGCTCCAACGCAAAGCAGCCCTGCCCTGAGGGTGTGTTTTGCACACAGATGTCAGCCCATCTGCAGGGCTTCTGACTCAAAGGGCTGGGCAGGGGTTCCAGATGAGGGACCAGACACACTGAGAACCACTGGCTCTACCCTCTGTAAAGACCTTTTCGTTAGAGGGGCTAAGAATTGTTTGGCAAACTTGCTAAAAATGCAGATTCTGGGATGATCCCCGAAGAGCATGACTCAGTAAGTCTGGGGCAGGGCCCGGAATATGCATTTTAGCAAATATGCCAGGTGGTTTTGCTGTGGGTGTCTAGGGACACCCTTTGCGAAGCAGGGCACTTCTGTGTGGCACAAGCCCATTTATTTAAGCAGCATCCATTTATTTATTAAGTGAGCATTCACAGGGCTTCTACACTATGCCAGGCACTGTGCCGGAGCTGTAGGAGCTGGATGGGTGCCAGAGCAGCAAGCACCCCGGTGGCAGGCTTCTGAGGAGGCTGAGGAGATGGGGTGCAGGGCTACAGGAGATGCGGGGCCTGGGCAGTGGGTGCCCCAGGGTGCTGTTGAGGGAGGCATTCTGTAGGAGGGTGCTTGAAGCATCTGGGAATACTCTTCATCTTTTAGACCAACCAGCCTCATTCCCATTGGCGTTTGAATCTTCAAACTCAGACCTCATGCTACTGAGAAGCTCCCATGTGCTTGGACCTCCACAAGTACCTGCCGCTTTTCCCTTGCCCCTGCCTGCCTCTGCCATCAGTTCTTCCTCCAACAGCCATCAGCCCAGGGGAGCAGCCTGCCTTCCTCCCTGTGGCTGCTGGACGCATTGCGGGAACTCTTCTGTTGGCCAGTTTCAAAACCATTTCTGAACTTCCAAACCAGCAGGGAAACAGAAACGAACGGAACAAATCCCCGCCTGCCCCTGACACAGGTGATGACACTTCATTATCGGCATTTCCTTCGGCTCCTTTAAAATCAAACGGAACGGACGCAGCCGGAGCCCCACGCTGACACTCCCTCTCCCTCCCTTCCCGGGGCTCCCCACTCATTCCCATGGCATTGGCGTCATTTTGCTCCCAGTGTACATAGTCATATCACTTTGTTTGAAAATTTAGCTTTGGTGTACTCATTCTGTAATCATCACCGTTTTTGCAAATTGCCTTTTACATCACCTTTGGGCCTTGGGATTTATCGGAAGAATCGCAGTCTCTTGTCTGTGCACGCCATCCACGGTTTTGTGTGTCCTCGGCAGTGACATGAGACATGGGAATTGCCGGGGGCGGGGGGGGGCGGGGGGAGGTGAGGCAATCCATGTCGAGTCTGCGCCAGTTCTTTTGGATTTACCAGAAATAACCTGTGGCAGACTGTTAGCCCTCCATTCAAGAGGGTCTTTTCTCTCTTACCCCCCAGCTGTAGGGCCAGCTCCCCCAAACCAGCACAGGCAGACTGAGCCTCCTCCCCAGCCTCACACAGCAGAAGGGGTACCTTTCCCGGGGAGACCTGCAGCCCAGCCCTCCGGAGCCCAGGCTCCCTGGTGTGGCCCTTGGCCAAGGCCCCACATCTGCCCCAGCCTGCAGCCCGCTCCAACCTCCCCACCCCACCCACCTGACAATTAAAAGGGGGAGTAGTGAAAGTAATCAGTTCAGCCCCTGAAGATGGAGGAGCTGGATAGGTGCTCGCAGCAAGTGGACGGGTGCACAAGACACACACTTACCCTCCAGGAGCGGGACCGGGAGCAGAGACAGCGGTGGGAGCCGGCCCAGTGGAGGAAGCAGGGAAGCCCCTGGTCTCTGCCTAGCTCGGCACTGGGCAGGCCTGGTCCGGGTTGGAGAGGCTGTGGGTCCTGTGTGTGGCGTGGAGAGCCGGGCAGGGCCTCTTTGGCTCCAGGAAAGTCCCACTCACCCACTGTTTACTGAGCACCCACATGCTGGGCACAGGGGACAGTGCTGCCCTGGAGAGAGGCTCACAGTGAGCAAAGAGGGGGCCCCGGTGAGCCGGGAGGGGGGCCCAGGATGAAGGGAGTTCCCGGGGGAGCCTGTAACAAATGACCGGCAACGAGGAGGCTGACAACAACAGAAACCTGTGGTGAAAATAGGGCCCTGTGGGAAGCAACCTCTGCAGGTGATGATCGTTAAGTTCCTCCTGGGCAGGCCATAGGGTAGTCACGCCCCAGGCCTCTGACTTCTCCATTGTCTTTGGGCATCTAGGTTAGCACACCTTTGACATGGCAGAAATAATACCCAGTAGTGTCCAGGGAGAAAGATGGTGAAGCCAAGGTCTCTCTCTGCCCTGAGACCTCACACAATCCCAGCTCCACCCTCTTGGCTCTTCCCCTCAGCAACCCTCTTCCCTTCCCCCCCCCCCCAGCCTGTGTCCATAGCCCCCCACCCCTCCACCCTTTGCCGGCTTCACTCCTCTCCTCAGTCCTCCGAGGTCACTTCCTTGGGGAAATCCTCTTGGATGCCTCAGACCAGACCTCGTCCCTTTGTCATTTTCTCTCATGGAACCTAGGTTTCCTTCCGGTGGTGGTGGTGGAGGCGACTCATCCATCCTCCTCTGTCATTGTCCCAAGTTCTCTGATTGGAGATAAAAGCCCATGGGCCAGGAAGCCAGAGACCCAGTCTGGCTTCCTCTGTTCTGGGTTCAGGAACAACCAGGGCAGGCAGGCATGATGTAACACCGAGCCCCCTATGGGCACCCTCAGAATCACGCTGCTCCTTAAGCCTTCCCACCTATCCCAGTGGATCATATTGTTGCTGATTTTGCAGGTGTGGAAACTGAGGCCCAGAGAGGTTAGCTAACCTTCCTAAAGCCACACAGCTGTGGACAGAGCAGCAGGTCCTAGGAGCATGGGCCATAGGTCAACCTTCAGCTCTGCTATAGAGCAGCTTGATCGTGGCTTCACCAGTACTTGGCAGGACTCCTTCTCACTTGGACGTTGGTTTCTGCCCTTTCTCCGCACCCTCCCCACCCCACACTCAGCTCCTCCAAACCCAGCTGTCTGAGTCTGACACTCCTCTGGCCTGGTTATGAATTCCCCCTGGGTCTGGTGTGCTGGCAGTCCGGTTTTTAAGCTCCAGGACAACCTCAGAAAGGATATCACAGTCACACTAAGGAGGGTGTATTCTCTCCATTTTCCCCGAAAGAGAGAGGAGGCTTCTGGCCACTCGGGAATTACCCACATCCTGCTGTCCCATCATTCTCAATCCCGGGGCCTCCCCACTCCCTCACGGGCCTCCGCACAGGGCAGCAGGAAGCCTACATTCAAATCCCAGCTCTGCCTCTTCCTAGCTGGGTGGCCTCCGGGGACTCACTTAGTCTCTTAAGCTGTTTGTTAGAGATTAAATAAGATTTTCAATAGGAATGTGCCTACACCAAGTAGTTCCATAAATGCCCATTACATCTGAAGGTGACAATGGCCTCCTTTTACAGAAAGAAACTTTCTAAGAAAATCAGACAAGCTGGTTTTTTTTGAAAAACAAAAAACAACATTTATTTCTGTAAACTGTTTTGAGTGCAGATGTTCCTCACAACCCCAAGACAGCACAGACTTCCTCCCCCCACAAAATGAAAGGAGCAGAGAAAAAGGAAAAGAACAATATAAAACGTGCTCATGAAGAACCAACCCAATCTCATCTTTCTCTGAAAAAAACAAAACAAAAAATGTCATCCCTTGAATGTGTGGTGCAGACGTGGGGTTAAACCCGCAGGTGTTCTGGTCCCCCAGGGCCGGGCCCGCTACGCACACAGTGAAGGTGGCAGAGAGGCCGACCGGCCCGCGCTGTCCCTGCCGTCCGCTGGGGACCTTCCCGAGAGTAAAGAATCCGTTCCAGTTCTATGGAAGTTCCTGTTCCGCACCCCGGGCCTCTCTCCCCGACGTCCTGGTCGCTTTGAGAGCCTCGGACGTTAACCTTGAAAGACTCCTGTCTAATCTGGGCTCAGACCCCTGCCCCCACCCGATGCCACAGCGAGACTCCAACCAGGAGGGTGGGGGCAGACCCCGTGGCAAAGCTAACGCCAGGCAACGTTTAAGGCGAATTTCCTCCCTTCTCCTTCGGTCTGAGTCAGGCCTGGGCTTTGCACCACCGAGCCCCGTCTCTGTAGCTTAGGCAACCCTGAATGAGGTGGGGGAGGGCCCGGGAGCACATCGAGGGGGGTCTGAGCCTGACACGTGTGTGGATGCGTGTGCTGATGAAGGCCGAGAGGATGATGTGGCTCAGGGGCAGCTGCCTCCTCGGCGGGAGGCAGGCGGGCCAGCCGAGGGGAACCGGATGGCAGCGCTGGCCCAGAAGCAACATGAGGTGGTGGCGGAGGAGGCCAGGCAGGCTGAGAAAGGGGTCACCACAGGAGGTGCCTCAGATCTGATGGTGAGCATGGTCTTGGCATCACAATGATTTTTTTCTTCAGAACAAGAAAGAGAGGGACGAGAGGAAAGAAGAGAAAAAAGATATTCCATGAGCTTTGCGAGAGAGGACACAGCAGGACACAGCGGGGGAAGGGGAGTGGGTGGCAGACAGGGTGGCGGGCGTTGCCTCTCATTGCGTCTCCTCTCCCTGGTGGGCTGGTGGGCGGGGAGCAGAGGCCGCGGTCCCCTCCCCTGGAGAGCAGGCAAATGGCTTTGGCAAGGGGCAGGGGGAGGGCGGGGCTACTCCGCCTGGGCGTCATAATTGGCTCCCCCCGCCTTCTTGAGCTCGCTCTTGATGAAATCTTCCTCCAGCTCCTTCCGATCACTGATCACAAACTCTTTGGCGAAATTCTGCAAGAACAAAACAAGAGTTCCCCGTAAGAAGGGACAAGATCTACTACTAAGCTTTGCTCAGACAACATACCACAAGTCTTGGCACCTAAAATACTAAGAAATGATAAAAATAAATGGTTTGGCAGGAAAAAAAAAAACTTGACTAGAGATAAGAAAATGGGTAAAGTCAGGGTACTGTGTAGTCCCAAGACAATGGAGATGGGCCAAGTCAGATGTGGGTTTGGATTCTGGCTCTGTCACTTAAGTTCCTTCAACACTCTGTGCCTCAGTTGCCTCCTCTGTGAAAAATCACTGCTCAGACCTCCTGGGCTGAGTGATCAGCCCGAGAGAATAATAGGAGTTGAGGTTGGAAAGGCAGGCTGTTGTGTTGGTAAATGTTTAACACCGAAGGGGTGGGGGTGGGGGTGAGGTGCAAGCAGGGCACTGATTTGTAGCTTTTGCCCATTTCCACGGTGTAAATATTCCCACGGTGGTTGATTTCAAGCTACCAAATGACATCACTGTACAGGAGCTGGGAAGAGACACATGATTGGCTCTCATAAGCTGGTATAAGCTAGCTTCAGGCATCCCTGGCATAACGGTGCAGGGCATCTAGTCCCAAGTCTGAGTAGTCAGCTCAGGCACTGCATGCACAAAGTATGTTACTTGAGGGCAGGGGGCTTGCCTGCATCCATTTAATGAACACCATGCGATGTGATGGGCTACAGTGATAAGCTACATGCAGGTCACTCTGCCCTCTCAGGGTGCACAAGTTTCAACCACAAAAGCCCACCGGCCTGGCACACGTGAGGTACACTGTAAATACTAGTGGCATGAACGAGCAAAGCAGGTGACCTGGCTTGTCAGATAACTCTGAGCAGAGGAATCAATAGTTATTTTAATATGTGGATCATAGACTTCAATAAACAAAACAATCTCAGAATAATGACAGAGACAGAAAATTTCACCTATTAGTAAATATAAATAACAAGTTTGAGGGTCAGAAAGTCAACCACATAAAATAAAATAAAACTCCACCAGGAAATAATGTAAACAATGGCCACCATTTATTATGCACCTATGTGTACCAGATGGTGCCACACGTTGGGACACTTCTTTTAAAAATTTTTTTAAAAATATATAATTTTATTTATTTCAGAAAGGAAGGGAGAGAGAGAGAGTGAAACATCAATGAGAATCATTGATTGTCTCCTCTCCCCATACCCCCTCCTGGGGACAGAGCCTGCACGAGGGCACATGCCCTGGATCGGAATTGAACCTGGGACCCTTCAGTCCGCAGGCCAATGCTCTATCCACTGAGCCAAACCAGCTAGGGCGGCAAACTTAATTCTTAAAACCCTTTAATATGACCCAACAATTCCATTCCTGGAGATCTACCCAAGAAAAATGAAAGCATGTGTCTGCACTAACAGTTAGACATGAATATTCCTAGCAGCATTATTCAAAACAGCCAGAAAGTGGAAACAATTCAAATGTCCATCAACAGATGGATAAGCAAAACATGACCTATCCACACCACAGAATACTATAACTCAGCCAAAGAAAGGAACGAAGTACTGGTTCATCCTACAACATAAATGAACTTCAGAACCATAGGCTAAATGAAAGAAGCCAGACATGAAAGACCACATATTGTGAAATTCCATTTATATAAAATGTCCGTAAAAGGCAAATCCAGAGACAAAAAGTGGATGAGTGGCTGCCAGGGGCTGGAGGGGCAATAGGGAGTGACTGCTAATGGGTCTGAGGTTTTGAATGGGGCGATGATGAAGATGTTTTTGGGACTAGACAGAGATGGTGGTTGCACGACACTATGAATGTACTAAATGCCGCTGAATTATGTATTTTAAAGTGGTTAATTTCACTTTAATTAAAAAAAAAAAACAAAAAAAAAACCACGCGTGCAAAATAAGTCACCATGCCTCCAAGAAGAATGACTAAACCAGGATAGCAAGGTCAAGTTTTACAGTATAAACACAAACTGTTTGCCATGTCAAGCCACTGAGAATATGAACAGGGAGGGAGGAGGGGGAGGTTAATATTTATCAAGCAACTAGTGTGTGTCAGGCACTGCCTCACACATTTTCTCCCTTATGATAAGACCAGCAAATCGGGCCTGGAAAGAAAGATTGTGTAACTCTCCCAGGATGACTAAATATCTTTTCTATTCCCTGCTGTGCTGCTCAGGGTCTGCGTATGTCATCCGTAGGAGTGAACACAGGAGCTGGACGGAGGAGCCAGAAAGGGGAACTGAGAATGAATGTGTTTCACAACCCTGAGCCCCAGTGGCGTGGGGGAGGGGCGGGGGGCAGACCCAGGAGAAGGAAGCCAGCAGCTCAAGGTGCCTGTAGGAGGAAGTTCAAAGTCTGGCTGCTCGCTGATAGCTATATATGGCAATCTAAAGCAACGTGAACACTCCGGGTTGTGTCTGTTAGCCATTAGAAGATTCAGGTTGAAAAGAAGTATGTTTGACAAGGGCTAAGAAATCTATGGAGAACACAGCACAGCCTAAAGCCACAAGGGCGTGGGAAATCAAATTATGGCCAAAAATAAGGAACAACAAAGGATAACAGAATCTAGTAAAAACATAACAATAAATGTAAATGGACAAAACTGCCTAGTAAAAAAGGCTTGTCTCAAGCTACAAAAGAAGCAACCCCAAACCCTGTGCTACCTATCACAGACGTGTTTAAAATCAAAAGATGAGCAAACTTATTTTATTAAACAAAAGTACATAGGAAAGCAACCGCATGCACCCCCACTGTGGGGACCAGCACCGAAGGGCAGGCAGGAGGGGGTCCCAGGAGGCCTCACGGGCCTCCCCCCAATCTACACAGATGCTCACGCACCCCCCAGAGACTTCAAAGGGGAGACGATTCTTCCCTTCGGAGTGTGGACTCTGTAAAAAGTCCCTGAAAGGTCTGAGTCGACCTAAACCCAACTCAAAAGACCCTCTCCCGGCTCCAATTCCAGCAGAACTCGCACTCGGACTTGGCTAGGGAGACGCCGGCAGCCCAGGCGGGGGCTTCATTGCGGCTGTTAAATGAGCACAGCGGACGCTGTGGGCAGCCAAACCCTGACCTGAGGCAAGGCCGAGACCGGAAGGAGTCTGCAAGGACTGAACCACAAGGACACGTCTGCTCAAAGCACGGCCACCCCCCCCACCCCCACCTCACACCTCACACTCTGTCACTGTCCCCGGCGCTCTCCCGGTGCCACCAAATGTCCACAGGGGCAGATGCGGGGGCAGTGCTCCAGTGGCAGTTCCCTACCAGGAAGGGGACTGTCAGGTCCCGGGACAACACTAACACGGAAAATGGAGGGAATTCCATTTTCCAGGAGCCCCTTTGAGGAAAGCAAGAGAGAACTCGATGGCATTAGTTGCACTGGCATTCTGTCTACCCCTGTGTATTCACAATGCTGCTGTGTTAGCATGTGCTCACGTGCAGAGGCAGTCACCAGGTGGGCTGCATCCTTGCCTCCACGCTGGCTCACAGGCCGTGGTACTGTGCCATGCTGTCAAGTGCTCAGCAGCCACAGGTGGCCGGTGACGGTGCAGGTCTCCACAGAACAGAAGAGTCTGAAGGAACTTTAATCTTAAAGCACTGGAGCTGCCTGAGTGGGGGAGGGGAACCTCCCGGGGGCTGGAATGTTCCTGGGTGGTGTTTCGCGGGTATGTACGAAAATTCAAAAACATAGCCATCTGCCCACCTGAGATTTGTGCATTTTCCTATACGTAAGTTACACCTTGTTTCACAAAAAGAAAGGGGAGGGGACGGAAAGAGCCTCTGAACCCCTGGCATGCACCCCCTCATTTGATAGAGAAGCAGTGGGGACTCAGAGGTGCACCAGTCCCCCCCATGGCACACTCAGCCTCCAGGCGGAGGGGTGGGGGGGAGGGGGGGGAGGACCCAGGTCCTGGCCTTGGTCTCTCCCATGTCCTCTGTCCTCTGCAACCCGCCTCCTGGCTGCTCCACGCTGTCCTGCCCTCCACGGCAGGGTGCCAAAGCTGCCTAAACCCAATGCCAGACATTGTAAGCAAAGTGTGCCTGTCTGGGGACACTGTCACCTGTGGTTCTAGAAAGATCTTTGTCGTGTCCAGGAATGCTGCCCCTGGCTAACAGCTTGTAGGAGGGGTCTCTCCCTTTTCTGCCAGAGCGGGGCTTGTCAAAGGAAGAATCCCCCTCCAGCTCAATGTGACTCCAAACCGCACACCAGCACAGTTCAGGACACGTTTTTGCCCCTCGACTTTCCTCAGGTGCACTTGTGCTATGCTTCAAAGACCTGAGATAGACGGACAGTCTGCTTCTGAGGAAGGCAGCTGGAGAGAAAGACTGAGGATAGGCACCGCTATACATAGTCAAGAATCTATTTGCAAAGCTGTTTTGAAATGGGCATCAATATTTTCTATTTGCAAAGCTGTTTCGAAATGGGCATCAATATCCTTTGTTTTAAATAATCTAAAGAGATTATTGTTGTTGTTAATTCTCACTTAAAGATATTTTTTCATTCATTTTATAAGAGAGAATAGAAGGGAGGGGGAGAGACAGAGAGAGAAACATCAATGTGAGAGAAACACATCAGTTGGTTGTCTCCCAACCGCACCCCGACTTGGGGTGGGGATCTAGACTGAAACCGAAGTATGTGCCCTTGACCAGAATTGAACCCTCGACCCTTCAGTCTGCAGGCCGAAGCTCAAGCCACTGAAAAACCTGGCCAGCGCTCATCTCATTTTTTAAATGGCTCCCAACTGCCTGAATTTAAACCCAGTTTCAGTCCTAAAGCATGCTGGGAGTATATTTGGGCCAAATACAAATAGGGAGAGGTGTTTATGTGCATGTCCAGCAGCCCAACTGACTGTCCTGAGCCTTAGGCTACTCATCCCCAAAGGGGGACGATAGAAGCCCCACGTCCTAGGGCTGCTGTGAAGATCTGATGAGCGTGCAAAGGGCGTGGACACTCCATGGGTGTGCCCGGTGCAGAGTAAGTAGTCAAGG